CCCCTTTCCTCATGGCTTTTGGGACTGAGGCGATGAGCCTCGTGGAGGTCGGACTCCCATCTCCACGGCGTCTGCACTTTAGTGAAGTGACCAACGACGAGCTCTGGAGGCTAGACCTCGATTTCATTGAGGAGAGGAGGGACGACTCCCAAGTGAGGCTAGGCACCTGTCAAAGGAAGATGACAAGGTACTTCAGCTCCAAAGTCAACAAGAGGTCTTTCCGAATCAACGATCTTGTGCTCAGGAGGGTCTTTCCATCTTCAAAAGAACCCGATTCCGGCTCCCTGGGACCGAACTGGGAAGGTCCATACAAGATCAGAGAAGAAATCCGACCTGGAACCTACTGGATTGAAAACATGGACGGCAAGGCACAACCCCGTCCATGGAACATTGAACACTTCAGAATCTTTTATCAGTGAATTGTATCATGCTGGATGACTTTCCCAGCCTTTGTAATATTTCTATGGCTCAATAAAATGTGTTGATTAAATCGTTATACTACGTTGTCACCTCGGAGGAGAGGCTCGGGACCCACCACTGGGCCACCTCGCTTGAACTCCGAGACTTCAGCACATGCCTCCCTTTTGACCTTGCTGAGGGCCGAGGGGAGAAGCCTCAACATGGCTGCACCATCCGCCGTGTCTGGGATGCGTCGTAACCTCGGAGGAGAGGCTCGAGACCCACAACTGGGCCACCTCGCTTGAACTCCGAGGCTCCAGCACATGCCTCCATTTTGGCTTGCTGAGGGTCGAGGGGAGAAGCCTCAACATGGCTGCACCATCCGCCATGTCTGGGATGCGTCGTAACCTCGGAGGAGAGGCTCGGGACCACCACTGGGCCACCTCGCTTGAACTCCGAGGCTCCAGCACATGCCTCCCTTTTGGCCTTGCTGAGGGCCGAGGGGAGAAGCCTCAACATGGCTGCACCATCCGCCATATTTGGGATGCATCGTAACCTTGGAGGAAAGGCTCGGGACCCACCACTGGGCCACCTCGCTTGAACTCCGAGGCTCCAGCACATGCCTCCTTTTTGCTTGCTGAACGCCGAGGGGAGAAGCCACAACCTTAAATTATGTTCATTTGCTTAAGTCCTGCTTAAGTCCGAGGCTCACACAGTTATGTTCATCTCCTTAAGTTATGTTCATTTGCTTAAGTCCGAGGCTCACACAGATGTTCATCTCCTTAAGTCCTGCTTAGGTCCGAGGCTCACACAGTTCATCCCCTTAAGTTATGTTCATTTGCTTAAGTCCGAAGCTCACACAGTTATGTTCATTTGCTTAAGTCCGAGGCTCATACAGTTGATTGGTTAATGTTCATCTCCTTAAGTAATGTTCATTTGCTTAAGTCCGAGGCTCACACAGATGTTCATCTCCTTAAGTTATGTTCATTTGCTTAAGTCCGAGGCTCACACAGTTCATCCCCAAAAAGTACACCAACAGATGCCGGTCCCACCCGCGCTTGCGTGGGCGAAAGTCCAACACTCTAGGACACGTGGACGGTCTAAACGAGCGGTTCAAAGGGAGCGTGGGAGTAGCCCAACGACGCGGGACGGTGACGTTCGGAATCCGACGGATTATTCGTAATCCGGTTGTACAATAATTACCAACCGGTGCTTGTAAATGTATGTGTAAAAGTGTATAAATTCGATTTATATATTGCAAGTAACTGAGAGAGTTGAGTAAATGTAGTCTTTTGTATTGATTCTTGCATTAGCCTCTTGACATTATACAATGGGGGTATTTATAGTGATACATATGGAATGGGGGCCCTTGGATGAAGTGGCACGTGGCCTCATCTCCTTAGTTTAAACGTCTGTTCTTAGGCATGAGATTTGACTTGCTAGCTTACGGCGCATTTATTGCTTGTGCAGGGCCTCCATGCTAGTGACAAGACTTGACGTTTATGCTTATGACAGACATTCCATCAATCATTCGAATAAGATCTTTGCAGGCGATCTCTTGGGAGAAGTGACCATGGAGGATGTTTCCTTGTGGTTGAGGCTCGCGCATCAACTTCGGGGCTTCGTCCATTTGAGGACCTCAGCTACAACCAAAAGCTTCCACGCCTCGGGCCATGTGCCTCGGTTGAAGCAGTTCGGATATAACCTACCTCGGAAATGTGGTCCACCTCGGCAGGATGCCACATGGATCAGGATGAGTGGCCCACTGGCCCAGGTGGGCAGGACAGGTGTGACAACACGCAACAATAGTCCCCCAAGTCCAAGTATAGATATTTATATCATGGTTGGAGTTAGAGAAGTTTTGTTGTAGGTGTATGATGAAGAAGCCGAGGTGGTTGGGAAACCGAACCTGCGAGACTTGAATGCCTAATGGGTGTGAAGAAGCCGAGGTGGGGTGAGGAACCGAACCTGCGAGGCTTGAATGCTAAATGGCACATGAAGAAGCCGAGGTGGTTTTGAAACCGAACCTGCGAGGCTTGAATGCTTAATGGGTGTGAAGAAGTCGAGGTGGGGTGAGGAACCGAACCTGCGAGGCTTGAATGCTGAATGGCACATGAAGAAGCCGAGGTGGTTGTGAAACCGAACCTGCGAGGCTTGAATGCCTAATGGGGGTGAAGAAGCCGAGGTCCAATGGTAATGATTATGCTTTGGTCTCTGTGCCAATGATTTGATATTTTGTGCTTGTTTTCGAGGAAAGGTAGCTGAACCGTTACGACTTCCAAGGCGCTGGCGCCGACGAATTAAAAGTGCAATTATGAGCGCAGCTGGCGTTTCTAGAAGCAGACGCGTTGGAGAGGTGCGTGTGAGGTACGCATAGATAGGAGGCGTAGGATTTCAAAAACTGTTAGAATTCAACGCCTCGAATTGGATCTGAAATGGAGGGCTCGGATTGACTGAGATTTGATC